TAGAGAGGTCAAAAGATGAGAAATATGTGTAGATCCCAAGGTTGTCAACCCACGGGTTGACCCACTTTGACCCTGACCCGATGAGAAAAATGGGCCGCACGCACCTACCGCGTCGACCGCTACAGGATATCGGGTTGGAGGTCAAATTGTGCTATTTTTTCATTGGTTTGCGAAATGCGTATATTTTCTTATTTTTCTTTTCGCCTAACTCAATATTTGGAATCCTTAGTTAAACATTTGAATATTGATATTATATAAGTGTGTGTGAATTTTCACTATATGTTGGATCTAAGTACGACATGTTACTTTGGTGTAATGTTATATGTTATTACTCATATGTTAGATGAGATTTGATATAATTTATCAGGATAAGTACAATATAATAACTCTTTTCATATTTTCGGGCTAAAAGGGGTGACCAGTTAACCCTTCATCCACTAGTTCGACCAGGTCCGGTTCAACCCGCAGGTTGACAACTTTGGTAGATACTAAGAAATAGTTTCTTGTGCACCCCACCACATGATGATTATTCTTTTCCTTCCTCTTTGCCTCACGGTTGCTCTTTACGTTATCTAGAAATAGTTTCTCCTTCCTCTTACACATTCGTAGTAAAAAAAGGGGTCGGGTTTCAAGTTAGGGTTATTGACATGTCGGGTTAGGTTTTATGACGTGGTGTGTCAAATTTGGCTGACTTTGTAAGTTTTTTTAGCCACGTCAGCAAAAACTGATGTTGTCAATGGAGACTAACGAAAGGTAATGGAGAATGAACAAATTGAACTATTTAACTAATCTTAGTGATCACTAATGGAATTAAATATTTATACTGACTAGACATGAACTTGTTTTTAATAATCTCAATTTACCCGCTATAGTATTGTCAACAAAATCATTGTTTCGGTCGAAATAGTAGATACTTTTCAAGTATGATCAAAGACTCAAATTCAAAGAGTCAAGCATGTTAGCAAACCACCTCTCATGCACATGAACGTGAAAATTCAACAATGGTGCAACGAGTAGGAAGGTTAGCAGGTATACGCAGACAATGGTGATGTTAAAACCAATTGGGAAATCGAAAATGCAAAAAGTAATGAACACACCGATTACATAGATTGAGAAGGTATGTATATTACCTTCTCCAGACGACCTAACCTAATCCAACCTAGAAAAGAAAATGTCACAAACCATATCCAAAGGAAAAGGGTATAGCCAGATCCATGATTCCAGTCGATGACAAATAATTTGTCTTCAAGTTATAGCAACATGTACAACTTCTATTGATGGAAGAGGATATGCCGATACAAGAATAGTTTATATATTGGGCTGGTTTAAATTATTTTAACTTGTGATTTATTCCAGCCTTAATTACTTAAGCTCATACACGTACTCGGCCCAATTAATAGCTTATGGAAAAATAGTGACGGAGCTTCAAGCGTCATCGTGTGTGCCAAGCCCAATATAAGTTTCTGGCCCATCAAACTCCATCGCAGTCCCAAGATGCTACTCATCGTCTTCCTCTACCTCTTCCCCTCTGGTCACGATGTTCTACAACCGAGTTACATAATCAAGCTAGTAAAAGGGAGCTTTATTTACCAATAAAGAAAAAAAAACAAACAAAGAGTTTTGTGTCTAAATAATTATGCCATAGAACCACAAGCCAATAAATAATCAAAAAGTATGACTCCTCTCTCTCTCTATTTTCTGCAGTTGATGAATAATAGAGCTGGAGCAAGAAGAAGATGAAAGGGGGGGGGGGGGGGGGGGCAAGAAGAGATAAAATACTAAATTAAGAATCTAATTCATGTAATTGATTCCCAACCTTCCCTATTACTCGACGGAGGCATCATTATTGGGGTCGAGACCGTAGGGCCTTGCGGGAACCGTCGACGATGGAGCTTAACGGTAAGGCGAAGCTTGATTTGCTGGGGTGGGAGGCCATGGCGGTCGAGAACGTCGGGACGAGGACGAAGGAAGCGAGCAATAGGTGTTGTTAGTGATGGTGATTGGTGAAGGAAGCGAGCAAGTAAGAACGCTACTATCCGAAAATCTCACAGCTGATTTTACCGATGCAGTTTTGTTCCCTTTTTAGTTATGATGGTGTTGTTAGTAGCTACACATTGTTTTAATGATGAAGGTGTTGGCGGGATGTGGCTTGGTACAAGGATGGGCTTCGATGAAGTTGTTGAGGAAGGTAGCTTTGGCCTTTGTGTGATGACGATGACGACGACGTATAAACATTAAGCTTTAGTTTTATTTAATCAATGGGATGCTTAAACGTATGATTAAAAGAAATAAGGTATCATAATATCATTTATGATGATAAAAATAGTTTGAGTGATTATGATGTACGTATAATTATTAAAGGGGTGCGATTAGTAATTATAATTATTAATAATTAAATATTTTTATTATAATAAATCATGACCGTAAGATTAGATCAACGGTGTAAAAGACTGGAGCATACTATGCGTCTGGAGCATACGAGTCGTATCCATATATATACATATATATATATATATATATGGCGAGTTCTACTGTACCCCGGGTGAAATCCGGGGTACCGCATACCTTAAGTAAGAAAACGCTATTCAGAACTTGAATTGACTGATCTTTCGGACATGATACTATACTCTAACCCTTCAAGATCAAAATCTAGGTCTTAATTCACTAAATCTTATACCCCAAGATCAATTTAGTTAGAAACAATAATCGACGGTTATGATTCGTCCAAATATAGGCAAAAAAATCAATGCACCATCTTAGGGTTTATAGTTTATGATTTAGATAATTAGGACCTAGGGTTCACTCATAAAGGGTTAGGGTATAGTATCATGCCCAAAAATCATGTTAATCCTGTTAGGGTATAGTATCATAATGAGGAAGATTTCATATCTTTCGGATGAGTCGAAGAAGATAGTTTTTTTTTTTTTGTCTTGATGTATTAAGAACCACAACCTCTAAATTCTATATATACTAGTTTCACCTAAGTCCCCAATAAATTGCTAAGCAAATAAGTATCCGATTTCCACATATTAGTTCCATATCAAATTTGAGTACGTTACCAACTCGCTATTCGACCATCTAAACAAATAACTGCTTACAAGTTACAACCTCTGCAACTCACATAACGTGAGGGATTAATTTCTCAACACTTACAAAATCGCCTAATCATTTTTTTTTTTACAAAAGATAATCATATATTGATTCAAAATATCAGTTTGCTACACCTTGGAATACAGCCAGGTCTGGAAATCAAAAGAACGACAAGTAGCCGGATACAAATAAAGGGTATTTCTATCCACCACATGGGCTACCCTATTGCTATTTCGACCTACAAATCGTATACTAAACCCAGAGTGAGTAGCAAAATAATGCATAATTTCCTCCAGAATAACCCCAAATCTACTATCTCTGGCATCTGCCCGATTTATCTTCTCGATGACGACCTTGACATCACCTTCAAACGGGACTTCCAGGAAGCCACAATTCATGCACCAAAAGACCGCTTCCCAGAGGGCAAGTAATTCATCTACCATTGGATCCTCAATTAACCTAAACTGAGTCCCTTTAGCCATAAGGACCTCTCTATTTCACAATAAACTTGTATTTTTTTTTTTTGCCACACATACTTCCACTCTTAATTACTATTTTTTCAATAGACGTGTTAGATGTTACAATTCCTATCTTTTACGAGTGACGTGGTAAGCATAATCACCTTGAGGAAAAGAAGGCCGAAGCTGGTAATAAGTAACTGGCCAAGTGAAACAAATTGAGGAATAATTGGTTGACGATAATTGACAACCGAAGTTTCCTATATATTTGCGTATCCTTCCTTCCTGCTAATATTTATTTGCAACTGGACAACACATGATTGCAGTGTTATTGTGTGTATACGAAACGAAAGGGAAGCGACGTTATGGACTTATGGTTCAATCAATGGGCCTTGAGGGGATCCTTTGTCGTGTAATTCATTTGGTGAAAAGAGCCGACATATATATATACGGGATGGAGATCCTTCAAAGATGAGCCAAATCTCATAGATGATTCCGGAATTACATACTTTTTTTTCCACGAATGATTGCATATATAGATAAATATAGTTTAATCATATTATTAACATGGATGGAAAAGAAACTGATTATGCAATCCATTGCGGTGTTAAATGTTAATAAAATAAAAATTATTATTTACTAGAAAGTATGAAAACATGATGAACCCAATTCGCATATTTGTTGTGTTTCCATTTTTTGACATTTTGTTAACTTATGGGCTGTTTGTTTATGAGATTTTAAAAATGCGCACTTTTGATTAAAAATTAATTTGGAAAAAAATGGAGAAATTATTTGATGGATTTGAGCCATTGAAGATTTGATAAATTTGTTGGATTTTTTTATCATGTATTGGGTTTGTGACTTTAAAAGTACGTTTGCTTCACTATTTTCAAATTTAAACTGAAGTGAAATTATTAGAGATATATAAATAATATGAGGATATTGTATTCAAATACCCTCGAGAATTTGACATCTTGGATCAAATCCCAAACTTTTTTTTAGATATTAAAAAATGTGACAAATCCCAAACTTTATCTAACAAGAACTCTTTTTTTTTTTTTTTTTTGAGAAACAATAACTCCTTTCTTACCACCAAAAGCAATTTTTATAAAATAGAAAAGGCCGGTCCATAGCAAGATTCTTTTCTCTTTATAAAAATATACATACGTCTCCGCCATTAGTTCTGGTTGGCCTTATTTTGTTTATCACCTCGATCCCCCACTACTATAATATATTCATGAAAAAGAAGTTGTAACGACTGTTTCTCTACATATCGAAAAACAGGAGGATTCGATAAAGCAAGAAAACAAAACACAAGAACGTATATATATAACACACGATTTACATGGTTTACTAACAGGAGAGAGTCCGTTTCACTATACTTCAAAGATATACCGATTACAGAGACCCCACAACATCCAGTTGTTAACAAAATAGTCCGATTCAAGTCACATCAACAGAAATCACAGTTTTGTTTAATTGGTTTGACGTGGATCGAAAAAAATGTCACTTTCCTCCCTACCCCCTTTTGTGCGTTCCGCGTGCAGTGTGTAAATATATATATAAATAGAAGAGGTTAGGCGCCGTTGTCACCTAAATCAGTTGATTTCGTGTCCTTCCTTTCTTTCCCCCCCATTTCTCTTCTTTCTGGGTGGTCACCAACTCACCATGTCCCACCACCATCTACAACAACGAGTAGCTTCTTCTCGTGGTGGCCTCTCGACCTTCAAGATGAGGGTGGCCGTCGTGTTGTCGTCCGCCGTATGGTTCATGGCAGCGGCGGCGGTGGCGGAGCTGCCGCGGCTGGAGCACAGCGGTTCGAAGTACTTCAAGGCCGGAAAAGGCGACGGATCCCTGGCCGTGTTGGTGGTCGGCGACTGGGGCAGGAAAGGAGCCTACAACCAAACTCAAGTTGCCACCCAGGTACGCAATCTCTCCATCCTTCCCTTCTTCTTCCCTCTTCTCGCAACAAGTTCAAGTTCTGAGTTCTGACAGTAAATAATTAATATGATAGTATTTACTATTTACCCAGGCTCAAGGATGCTGGGTAGATAAAAAAAAATACTGGACAGGCATTGCACTGACCATTCATGTACTGACACGTTGACAGTCTTTTTGTCGTTTTGTTCAGTTTGTCTTTATGGGGGGTATATATTGGTTTTCATAGAGCATAATTCGAGGTAGATTCCAATATGCCCATTGGTCGCTTTTTTGGCCTAGGGACTTGGTTGGAACAAACAAGCCTCCTCCTGCCGACATCATTGTTGATTTTGTTTTTTTTTTAGGGCAATGTCTATTTTTTACCCAAACCTTTTTCAGATTCTTTTATTTTAACCAAACCTATAGAAATTCTATTTATTATCCAAACGTATTATAATTTATCAAAGTCTGGGCATTCATTCTGTTACCGTTACTTATTTCGTCCACGTGAGAGGTGGGATTTTGTGTTGTTTTTTTATAATCTTTTTATTAAAAATAGTAAATGATGGTATTCTTACCGCCACGTAGGAAGTCAACTCATTATGGTCATACTTAGTCAGCATTACTAACAAAAAAGTTGACGGAGAGTTAACGTTGGATAATTTTTAGGAATTCAATAGGTTTGGTTAAAATAAAAGAATCTGAAAAAGGTTTGGGTAAAAAATAGACATTGGCCTTTTTTTTTACATGCATAGTTGAAAACGAAACAAAGAAAAGAGAAGAGGCTAGCTTAGCGTGCCGTGAATATAATGGTTCTCAAATACGTGTTGTTTTGTCTAATTAGTAATTACCGTAGGAGACAAGCTAGCCCGCTGCGACAAGGGCAAGAAAGCTCTATGGAGAAAAGGGTGAATGATTCCTTCCCAACAAGAGGATGATTAAGTTAGTGAATGGGGGAGGTGTTAACTATAAATAAAGGACAGAATTAACAAGGCTAATTACAGGAGAGAAAGACAATGATGAAAATTGGGTAATCATACAGAGCATAAATGGGTGGGTTAGCTTTTAGCATGTTTTTTTGTTGTGATGTGGAGTTGATAAGATATGATGGTGTTGGAAAATCAGCCTGTTTTGGTTCATGGATGGATAGCTTAGTTTAGTTGGGTGGCCAGGTGGGAGTAGGACATAAAAAAGATCGTACTTTAAATCACAAACAAGCAAATTAGAGGGTGGGTCACTCGCAAATCGCAATCCACCAACCAACAAGCAAACAATTCTTTTTCTTTTTTCCCCCTTCATATAAATAATATAAATAAGGGTAATGTTTATTTTTTATCCAAATCTTTTTTAGATTCTTTTTTATTATCCAAATTTATAAAATTCTATTAATTAGTCAAATCTTTCATAATGCATCAAAATAGTAGCCATTTTTACGTTATCGTTAATAATTTTATAACTCTTTTCTTAGTTAAAATATTAAAATTTTAGAATGTTGACTTTCATGTGTCTCTTCCAAATCAGTATCATGTTGTCAAGTCAATATTACTAACAAAATTGCTAACCGAAAGTTAACATTTGACTAATTTTTATTATTTTAATAGGTTTGAATAATATAAAAGAATCTGAAAAAAAAATGGATAAAAAATAGACATTACCCTATAAATAACAAACAAACAAATTGATGGGCAAGTGTCGCAGGCTCGCAGCTTTCTTCCCATTTTCTAGGATTGCCATTATTGTATCGTTACCCATACCCACAACTGTTTGTTGCACATGCACGCATCCTGCCTAAAATAACCCACGATTGTGACACCGTAACGAGATTTGTATGTGACAAAGTTGCAAGCCTAACCGTTTAAGCTATAATAGAGTTATAATGATAAAAAAAAATCACAAAATCGTCACGGTGTCACATGATCAAATCATCGCCTACTTCGTCACGTAACTGCATTGGCTAGACCATCATGCCTTGAACAAGCTAATTCACTGCCGTGGTAATTCCTCAATTGCTAATTACTGGGACACATTTTTTCTTTTTACCTTTTCACAGATGGGGGTAACTGCAGAGGCAGTAAAAATCGACTTCGTGATATCAACCGGGGATAACTTCTACGACGACGGATTAACAGGAGTTGACGACCCCAATTTTTACCATTCATTTGCAGACATCTACACAGCACCCAGCCTGCAGAAGCAGTGGTACAACGGTAACTAATTTACCCCTCCTCCCTGGCTTGTTTCATCCCCCATAATAGCAGTAAAAAAGTTCGACTAGGTGAATCCTTTTTTTTTTTTTTAACCTAGTAACCGCATGCATGATTCCAGTTTTGGGGAACCACGACTACAGAGGCAACGTAGAAGCACAACTGAGCACAACCCTACAAGAGAAGGACCCCAGATGGCTCTGCATTAGATCCTTCATTCTCGACACCAAGCTGGCCGAGTTCTTCTTCGTCGACACCACGCCCTTCTCCGACAAGTACTTCACCGACCCGGAGGACCACGTCTACGACTGGAGCGGCCTACTCCCTGACCGAGCTACCTACCTGTCCAACCTCCTGGCTGACCTGGACTCTGCTCTCAGGTCGTCGAAGGCAAGGTGGAAGATCGTGGTGGGGCATCACACGATCAAGAGCGCGGGCCACCATGGCAACACGGTCGAGCTGGAGGCTCAGCTGCTGCCCATCTTGGAGGCACACGATGTGGATCTGTACGTGAATGGGCATGACCACTGCCTGGAGCATATCAGCAGCAGCCGGACCAAGCTCAGTTTCTCACCAGTGGGGCAGGGTCGAAAGCGTGGAAAGGTGACGTTAGCTCATGGGATCCCAAGGAGATGAAGTTCTACTATGATGGTCAGGGGTTCATGACGCTTCAGATCTCGTCGGATGAAGTTCGTGTTGTTTATTATGGCATCGACGGTGAAGTCCTGCATCAATGGAGCACATCAGAAATGTCAGTCTCTCGGATGTAGTAGCATCAAAACCACACTACTACTGTTACTAATTCAGCGATATTATCAGTCGAGTATCCCTCACTACGTGATCCTGGCCTTCCATTGTAACTTTATCACTGTAATTAGGAATGACATCTATGATACAGTTAATTCCATGGACTTTTAGTTATCACTTAGAAAGGGTAACTTGTTCTAATCTTAATCGATTAAGAGACTTTAGGTCGCCTTTCATTGGTCATCAATGAATGACAGTCTAGCTTGATACCAGATGGGGATGGTACTCGCTAATCTAAACACATCACATGAATAAAAATAAATGACAGTCTAGCTTGATAAGAGATGGACATAAAAAGCGGGGTATGAAAAAGAAGTACCATGTTCTGCAGAGTGGCAAAAGTCGAGACCATTACAAGGGAACTTTGTATATGATTTGTTGTGTTCGCCAATGAGGCAAGCTCATTACCAACTCTTTCTGCAGTCTACGAGAATAGTGTTCCAGTTCATCGACAGCAACAGTGAACTCGGTCCAGTCGAATTCGTACAGATAGCATCTATCATCACGAAACATCTTATTTGCCAGTTCATTATCCTTCACAAACATGAATTTCAGAGAGGCAATCTTTCCTTGCTGCAACTCAGACAGTAACCATACCTCCCTCCTTTTTGCAACTCTCAGAGAATTCACTTGCGCAGGGGCCTTCCACCACAAAAATTGTACCACCTAAGCAACAACAAAACTGTGATGAATTTTTCTAACCACAACGAAAAAGACACAAACTTTAGCCTATGATGGGTTTATATAACTTTTCTGGCTAGACAGTTCAATACTGAACACATGACCCAATAATCTTAAGCACACCAATTTTGATCTGTGTACGTTACCTGTAGCGCATGCAAAATGTTGGTGAATTCTTGCTCAAACAGCACCTTACTCCTTGCTAGTTGCAATGGTCGTTCGAGCAGTTCAGAGAAATCAGAACAGGATAACTGTTCTTCGGTAGAGTATATATCAAACCCTGCACCGTAAATCCTTGCACAACATATATTAAACCCTGATTCTTCATTCTGCTCTTGACCCCGACAAAACCAGTACATATTGCTGGAAGCTGGCCTTGGCAGCAGCAACTCTTCAGATTTGCTTGAAGAGCAAGGCATGTTTGAAGACAGAAGGGATATAAGTTTGGCATCTTCATCATGTGCACTGTCGCGGCTGAACCACATTGTAAGTGTCAGTCTTTCTCCTTCAATTATCTGCCGATTGATAGATCTCCAAGCTAAAATCAGAACACAGAAAACAAATGCAAAACCATATGCAGCAGGCAATAGGGGACTTCTTCAACTATGTGTCAAGAATACCTCATCCACCGAATGAACGTTACGATCATCAGCTGTATAGATCGAAACAGCCTGTAATGGATGCATCACAAGATATCAGACTACAATTCACTTCACATACACCATTCTATTACTGCATTTGTAACTGAAAGGGAAGTCGAAATGTTTACCCCGGCGGCTGGGACGAGAGTATTCGGGTGACCATCCCGGAAGTGGAAAAGACCACCTTTGAAATCCTGGCCATAAGTGTTCAAATAGCAGACTGCCTTTGTAAACAACAGAAGCATAACAAAAAAAGGCAAACAGTGAGCACAAGATCCAACAGAAAAATGGTGAAACAGAAAAAGAGAAGAGGCATAGAGGCAGGTACAGTGAAGTGACGCTGTTTGAGGTAAGGCCTGTTGTCATCAGTGTGCCAGCCGATGCTTGCGCCTCGAGTCCAGCTGCAATTGCAGCAAGCAGGGACGTGATGATAACCAGGAACTAAGAGCAAAGCATATATGCGAGAGAATTTGAGAGAGAAGGAGAGAAATGGGGGTTAACCTAATTAAACCGGTGAACTCGACGGAGAGCTCGTACTCGCAGCCGAAGAACTCCTCGACCTTTTCTTTCAGGCGGTCACGGATGGAGAGGAAAGGGATGATGAGGTGCGGAGAATTGGTGGCGATGAGGTGAGAAAGAGTGGTGGAGAAGACGTTGGGACGGTAACCGACGGTGGAGCAGCTCCGATGAATGAATTCCAATTCCTACCAAAATTCCCCAATTCTTTCAAGTTGGGGGCAATTAAATGGGAAAAAAGATTCGATCGAAGAAGAAGGAAGAGGCACGAACAAGGGTTTGGTCTAGTGGTAACACCACTAGCCTAGAATCTGGAGGTCCCAGGTTCAAATCCCTTAAGTAGTACCTTAATAGCAACAAAAATGAACCTATATCACCCTTATCCAAAAAAAAAAGAAGAAGAAGGAAGAGGCGGAAACCTTGCACTCTTGAAGGGAGAGGAAATCGGGGATGATGAGACGCGCCTGATTCTGTTTCTCGCCGGTGGTATCGTCTCCCATCCTCTTTCTGATTCTGATTCTATTCTCGCCGGCGGTATCGGGGATGATAAGGAGTTAAAGTTACCGAAATCCGAATCGCAGTTCCGGAGGCAGGGCCGACGCCGGCGGCCTGGGGGCTCGGGAGTCTTTATGTTCTGTTCTCTATTGAATTGATGTGTTATTAAAAAGGGATTATGGCATTTTAGTCCATATACTATAATTTTTTTGACAAACAAACTCTATTAGACATAGATAAGTACACTAAAATGGTAAGAATCTTGAATACTAGTAAGGTCGGACTGTGTTTAGTAAGTATGTTCTTGATGACTGACATATATGTACTTCGCAATTTTGCATTTAGGTAATGGTTTGGTGATTAACAAGCTATTTGCTCATCCCTAATTCAAGATGTGTTTACTATCCATAATCAATATTGGCTTGTAACAAATTTGGATGAAACTTAAGCTCCATGTTGAGTGGAGTTCTCTCTTTGAGTCTTTTATATCTAAACTAAGTTTTTTCAACGGTAACTTTAATCATTTTGAGATAGTGATAGGTGTAACTAGCTTATCCTAGAGCGTGCAATCGTTTCGAGAACAAGCAATCCCTCTTATCACCATAACCACAACGACCGAATGAAGACTAGGTAACACACTACAGAAGCACAATAATGAGAGATTGTCCCCGCTAAGAACATCAAAGAGTAGGCTAGGTGATGATATAATGATGTCAAATATTAGATGGAAGGAGAATGAGGCTGAGGTTTTCTCATCCAAATCCGAACTGATCCTAGTGAGTGACTGAGTGGTACTTCTGTAATATATAGTGAGACACCAAAAAATGTATCAGAGTAGACAGGAAACATAGAAAAAAAAAAGGGAAGTAGAGAGAAATGGTAAAAGAGAAACACAGCCAAAAGCTTCTCTTACCATCATCTCCTCCCTCCAAGCTCTTCTTCTTCTTCTTCTCCCCACCATCTCCATTCAGTCTCCCCCACTCAGTTGTAACTAAGTATGAGATGATCCATGTCAAATAGTCTCCAATGTTTCGCCGCTCTTTACATTTTTCGCTTTCAAACTCATTGCTTACCACCATTACTCCTACTCTCTTCTCTCACCTGCCAAAACCTCTCTCTCTCTCTCGCTACACTCCATTAGCTCCGGTGACCTGCTCTTCTGCCTTGGCTGCCACTCCATTGCATTCCTGTTTCAACGGGGCCTTCACTCCTTCACTAGGCTTCCCTTGCCCGCTTTCTTTCTCAGGTGGGGAAGGAGCCGAGTCTGCAGCAGCAGTTTCATTTGCTGCTGGAGGCAGGAAAACGCCGGTCCCAGGGACGGGCACCAGGACAGTTGGCAGGCGAGGTGAGGGATGCCTTTGACCAGCTGCTGCTGCCCAGGTGGCTGGAACAGGAGTATGGATGGGGACTGGGGAAGGAAAAGGCACCTGTGCGGCCATTGGAGAAGTTACAAAGAGTGGCTGAACACCATTCTGATGATGAGCTCGAATCGATGGTGCAGGCAGTACACCAGTTGTTGGAACATAGTGCTTTGGCCCAGCATAACGAACATGATGAGTTGGCGATCTACTTGGCGGTGGACCCCAGTGAGAGGATGAATGGGCTGCTGTGGTGGATAATGGTGTATAACGCTGTGACGAGCCATCACCAGGGGAAAATTTCCTAGGCAGGGACTTGGTGAAGGTGATGAGAATTCGCTGCTTTCGAAGTGCAGGAAGTGCATGCCTTGCATAATCAGAGGATTTCCCTTGCAACACCAGAAGCGATCTGTGAAGCAACATACATTAGTGACTAATTCAGAATGAAACAGATGCAGGTGGCTTTGAAATACTAAAACAAGGTTGTACCCACCCAGGCTCAGCAGCTAGCTTGAGAGAGCCTCTGTAGTCCCCAGCATGGTCGGAATTTATCGTTCTGCCAAACACCATCTCACATCCAGTCAAGCAAAGAATGGCCACAGGTCTTCCATACCATGAAGGGCACATGTAAGGCTGCGAGTGGTCACCCTACAGGAAGTTTTTCAATAAAAGATTAACATACAGGCTAGGAAAAACCATTTCGGCTACAGGACGCAAATATATAACTTGGTAGAGTTGAGCCACCTCGTTGAAAATATTGATCATGCACGAATCTGGCTTTGTGGTCATGATTTGTGCGCCAACCATACGGTCAATGACATCTTGCAACAGGGGAGGGATTGGTTCGATTTTCTGGTCTGCAACATTCACTCAACATGAAATACTAGTTGGACTTTATATCCACAATCAAGGATTAACACAATTATTGCAAAAGAAACTGCAACTTGCCTTTAGGGGTTTCTTCATCTGCAGGTGCATCAGCTATAGGAAGACCCAGTTGAATCATCTCTCTTCCATGTCCTCTCATCGGTCGCCTTGAGGCAACATATGTTTGACCTGCTTCACAGAGAGCACAAATTACCCTAAGTTATTAGTAGCCTCATCCAACTATTCCTTTGATAAACTCCCATTCGATGATGCAATTAATACATAGATATGGAGAGAAACAACCATGACTTATATTTAACCGAAAAATGAAACCAAGCATCCAAACCATGCACTGAAAGGTATGAGAAAAAAACACAAAATGACCTAACTGAACTTCCAGTAACTTTGACGCTCAATGGGCTCCAAAGTTAGAAACACAATGAATGTATCATGAATAATTGATAATCTTATTTATAACCAACCTGCCAGTAGCTGTTCCAAGATATATTCATGGATACTGATAAAAATAACAAAATTCTCCACCTAGGATAGGGTCCGGGATAAATGATTCAGAGTGAACAACTTGAAAGGAAATCTGATAATAAACTTACCTTGAAATTTCCCTGCTCTACCTGCAGCCTTCAGATCATTAACCAACGAAACCAGTTTCGGGATTTCGGAGTCGTCAAGCAAACGCTCATACATCTTTAATCCATCGACAACATTAACCTACAGCAGAAATCAGCACATCTTAAGAGAAGGGAAAGAAGAAGAGAAACCCCAAGAAAGAGAGAATCTACTATCAAGAATCAGTCCTTCAGAAAAAGAACAGAAATACTGAAGTCATTCCGTCACAAAAGTTACCGCCTTTCCATCAATTATCTCTGTTCCAATGAAAGTCTTTGGACTGCCACTGGGATTTGGCATCTCATTCTGATTCTGACTGATAACCGAGTTGCTCTCTGCAGATGAGATTTTGCATTACCACAAGAAAAGTTCCAAACTAGAAAACACTCAAACAACAAAACAATGACAGGCATAGCATTAATAATGACAGCGTGATACCAACCAAAAGGAACTCCTTAGAGAGAACAGAGTGATAATGAACCTTTTTTTTTTATGAGTGATGATAATGACCCCTAGAGGCCTGACATACACAAGTGCTAATTGGACTTAACTCGGAAAAGTTTATTTTCCCTCATTCTCTGCAGATGTCAATTTATACAGCTCGAGGAGTAATCATGTCATTGCTCACCCTAACCCACCACAATGGGAAAAGAAATACAAAGGCAGAAATGAGGAAATGGGCACAGCTTGCCAGCCAAAGAGATAACGAAGGAACACCTTTGAGGATAAGTTGATCATCAGCAGCCACAGGCTCAGGTTCCGAATTCCCAGACACGGTTTCTTCTGAGGTTCGACCACTCTTTAATTGGCTATCCTTGTGTGGCAATGTGGTAACATCTGCTTCAATAACCAGAAAGTACAGGTATCAGTACTTCCTCCAAAAATGTTCAAGGTATGGTGACAATCCATGATTTTATGCACAAGCATTAGGATTTCGAGGATGCAACTCGATCAACGCATTTTAGGCATAAAGTTCACCATGCGTAACCCAGAATGTCTCACCAGGCAATTAGCAAATCAACAGATTACCAGCTGTGATTTTCTCAACACTTGTATTGTCTTCCCTATGAGAGTTCCTAGTAGCTTAACAAGAAGGACACGATTGTGTGTACCTAAAGGCTTAGAAATAAAGACTAATGGATCTTTCTTTTCCCACTTTTAGGAAAAAGAAAAAACAATTCAAGGTGAGGGGCTACTACTGACACTCTCTAATTGTCATTGTCGCTTTCGTTTCTTTTGGGTCAAGCATGCCAGAGGGAGAACCTAATTTGGCAATTGAACCAATAATGTTGATCACCTGATCATGGAAAGAGGGTGTCAAGTAACCTTCCAGAGTTCAGTATAGCAGTCAACTTCAGTGTAGCAATATGCAGTATATATACATTTATAAGAGTCGTCTGGTCAAATAGCACAACAAATTGTCACCACAGGTGTCCATTGCAGTAAAGTGCAAAAAAAAAAATTGAAACAGAAACCACAAATACCATGGAGCTTTACTCAAATTCTGAAGAAAAATCACATCGATGTACAACAGAATTCCAATCTAAGTGAGTTGGACGCTTTCCTTATCGGTCAGTAACACACAAAGGTCCAAATTTACCAAGAAAAGTCCCTTCCATAATCCATCTTTGCCTCCATCTAAGACCCTCTATACCAGCACATATATAGACATATTGCCCATTTAGGAAAGATCCATACTTCTTCAAATCATTCAATACAACACAGGTGGTTCCTAACACATTCAATACTGTCATTTAAGTCTCAAAATGGCCAAATGTAGGCATGCAGAACAATTCTATCATAAGCCAGGGTTAATGGAAGCATACACCATGCCGTAAACACTATACAGAAATCAGTAGCAAACATAAACCAAAGTGATTACCTTTCTTGTCCTGGGCAACTGCTGAAACCTTCTCGTCCATTTTACCATTAGTCGCGCCTGATTTAGGATCCTCCTTTGTCTCACTACTTACATTTCCTGAACCATTGCCATCTAAATTGTAACTCTCTAAACTAGTACGAACAAACTCTTTCGGTGCTTCACTCCCTCTATGCCCTTTGTTAAACCCTGCACCACCAAAAGACCTCTTGAATTCTTTGGCACCAGCCCTGGGCTGATCAGAATAGTATCTATTGTACTGGTGCTGTTGCGGTTGTTGCTGCTGCTGCTGCTGCTGTTGTTGCCGCCTTAACACTACCTGCTGCAATGCGAATACCACCTCACCAACAGAGAAATACTGCTGCATATGAAGCACCGGGTTCCAGTTGAACCTCCTTTGCTGAATACAACCTATAGCTAAATCATAGTCCCCTGGCTCACCGACAGCCCTTAGATGGTGGCAGAGAGCATCAATCATCGCATTTGCAGCGGCGAATTCCCCTCTCAACCACGAGATGAACCCATCACGCTCGTCCACCGGGAACCACTGCTGTCGAGGGTGGATCTCATTAGCTCCGCCGCCACCACCCACACTGCCACCAGCAGCAGCAGCAGCATACTGCATTTTATCCGACATCACCACATTACCTGATGGAACAGCCATATCCTCAAAGAAAACCCCGACAACTAACCCACAATTTGTACGACTATCAGGCAGAAAACATGGCCAGCTAGAAAATCCTCAGATCTCTATCAGATTACTGGAGCTCCAGAGAATTGTCCTAGAATCTCCTTTAAAACCTCCAGCTAAATCTCTCACCTATTTTCAAAGCGGATCGCACAAAATCAAGCTGGGAATCAGCTCAAAATAACGCAAAACAAGCAAATTCAAGAGCCAAGATACGAAATTTACTTCATAATATCATTCATTAACTAGCCAGTGGGGAGAATCGTAGCTCAGCATTAAAGAGAATCCAGCAAACAGAGTAAAATCGGTTAATATATGTTCTTGTCCAGGTAAACTGATGAATGAATGAATGAGCTTAAGGAAAACCCGAGAGAGAATGTGGGTTTAAGAAATCAGATAGATCTGGAAACTGGGTTTTGGAAGAATCAAAGGAAAGTCTCCAACTTTACGTACGTTTGGGGTTGTGAAGTGAGTGAGTGTTGGGTAATGGGTACAGTTTGGGTTGTTTTTCCTTCCTTCCTTTTTCTATTCTATTTTTTTCCCCCTTTTGACAGAGAGATGAATGATATGGGGAAGGAAACCTTGAAAAGCAAGAAATGAAAAATAGAAGTCAAGCCTTCCTAACAACTGGAGAACAAAAAGAAGAGATGGGAAAGGATCTAGGGTTTTGGAGCTGCTGTTGGCTGGTGGACTGGTGGGGAAGGTGTCTTGTTGTGAATAAATAGTGATGAAAAACTGGTGACCTCATGGAAAAATTCCTTTATTTTGCATTACGTGTCCTTCATTTTTCTTTCTGCTGCTAAATGGTAGTGTTAAATTTTAGTTTGTGGTACCGTACAAACTTCCCAATGTATTGAGAAAATGTTTGTATCTTCATGAACAATATGATAAATTGACGACCCGTGGTATTATCAACCGGTATATGTCTATAACTTTATTTAAAATATCGGTATACTTAGTATGCTACCAGATTTAATCAAATTTAGACTACTAAATTTTAGTGTGCTTATTTGTTACATACAATCTCATATAAATTTTCAGAAAGCCAATGGGGAAGATGGTTTCTTTAATGGTGGGTGAGGCTACATTACAAGAGAAGAGTGGAGGAGAAAAACGTGCCTTTTTCCTTTGTATTATTATTTGCTAAGAAAGGTTTAGATTCCATGTATTTCTCACCTTCCTCCCCTTGGCTGGTGGTGGGCTGTTATGAATTGAAGATAGGACCATCAACAGAATATCCTATTTTTTGCTATTGCTGAAGGTGCTTGCTTGGGCTTTTTTACATTTGCTGAATTTTTGGTTTAGTTGTTATTATAATTTGCTCTGCGTTTGAAAGATGTATATCTCCATAAATAGAGGCAAATTCGTTCTCTTTTCTTACAATAAAAAATCAGATTATTTGACTAGTTTATTTGTTGATCTGATTTAACATTATGGGTAAACTATTTTTAGGTCTTATAAACTTTTTTTGTTGATGGCCATTGACACAAGATTATCCTAGATTTAAGAAGCATCGATATAGCATTAGGGCAAAGTTTTTAGCCGAAGCCACTTCAATGGTCATCCATGGTTCTTTGAGTAAAGACATTAATCCAAGTTTAGTTATCAATGGAATCAACTCTTGATCACTACGTTTCTTTGTCAATGTAGGATAATATTCATAGGCCGATAGACAATCACTTGGTTGTGGTTAGATCAATGATTCAAGTTGCTAAGAGTGGATTTATGCCTTTGTTCAAAACTACATATGGGTTCTTGTACAAGAAGGTCAACTTTATTCCACTAGAGATTACGATGGATACCTAATTAGATTAAATGATCAATATTATCTAATATTGGTCAAGTTATCCGAAAGGGAGAATCCAGTTAAAGAACGGGCAACACCTACTTTACCTTAGTGTTTTTCCTTCTCCAAATCTATTCAATTTGATTTGAGGGTCTAATATGAAGAAGGAGCACCACCATTCAACCAGTCCATGTCTCCTATCACTAAGATTACCTAGTCCAGACATATTTAATCGAACGAACAAAAACCCTAACAATATGATTTGACATTTAATACACTCGGATTCATACTCTTCAACCGACCTGATACCTCCCAGAAGGGTTTCACTTCAATTTTTTTTTTCCGTTGAATCAGTTGCAATTATATTACCAAAACTATATGCAAAGTACATATAGGTCCTGATACAACGAAAGGATTACTCAAGGCAAGTAACCCTGTAGGGAATCAAAAGAACCCCCCCCCCCCCCAGAAACCACCATCTAACCACTCAAAACACTCCATCCCAACCTATAGGAAACCAGCAACAATTAAGTCTGCCTGTAATTCACTATCTTCACTACCCAAATACAATAGATCAGAGACAATCAATCTACCAAGAGTTGCAGCATCCACTACAACAATATGTACTTGTAGCCACAAAAACATAGCTACGAATAATACTTCATAGCTAATAATAAGTAGTTGCTTCAAAAATCCCCTCTTGTGGCTATTAATAATTAGTCTAGCCACAAATATGTTTGCCCATAGCTAATTATATGATTTTGATTTAAAATTTATACACCATGGCTATATGTAACCTATTAGCTACAAAGTTTTTGCTACTGTCAAAATATTGTAGCTAATTGGGATGTGCAGCTAGAGTAAATAACTATTTACAGCTATTTATGATAATTCCAGACACAAATAGAATTGTTCGTAGCTAATGGTGTCCTTTGATTATTTAAAGCTTACGAATTGTAACGATAATTTTTTAGCTATAAGAATTTTGGCTACAGTTAGAACTTAGAATATGGTAGCTAAGAACTTAGAATTTCTTAGTGCATGAGATTTATAGAACTAAGACGAGATTTTAATACTTAAGGATTAGGGTATAATAACTCTTATTAATTCAAGATCTTGATATCAATTTTTTCTCAAGGTATGTTATACCTTTGATTTTACTCAAGGTACGATAGAACCATGTCCCTAACTCCGGTCAATTCAAGTCTAGGCATAATTCTCTTACTCAAGATATGTGATACCTTAGATTTTCACAAGGTGCGATAGAACCATCTAGTCTTTACCATATATATGAGTATAATCTAGGGTACCGCATATCCTTAAGGATAAAATGATATCTAGACCTTGAATGAACCAAATTTTGAGGCATAATACTATACTCTAAAATTGAATGAGTGAATCGTATGTGTTAGTTATCTAATTCTTAACTTATTATTACTAAGTTTGAAGTCATGGTAGCAAATTCCAAAAAGATAAAGCGCTATATTAATTGTTTTTGGTAGAAAAAGAGCTATATTAATTGATTAGGCACAAATCTATTATGAATAATAATATCTCCCGATTAGCAATTTAGCATTAACAATTTTAATGAGAAAGGAAACAAATAGGTGAGATTCCCCGGGGAAAGTTTGTTAAAAGGAGGGAGTAAAGGAAGTTAAAAAGGAAAAGGACTTTGATAATTTAGGGTTTTCCGAGAGAGGGAGAGAGCGAAGGGTTTTTGAAGAGTCTGTCTTCAATCGGCGGCAGGAATAAGGCGAAGGCAAAACAAATGGATACAAACCGGCTCTTGGATGCGGGTTGAGAGAGGTTGATCTTAGTCATATTATCTGAAGAATTAGCGAAAGCAATAGAGATGCTAGGAGGAATGGAAGTCAGTCCCCGCAAAGAAGGTCCCATTATGCATCGGCAAAGCAAATATGAAAATAGAGACAAAGCTAATTAGAGGTATCGTGTCGATCTGTATTGTTTTTCGTTTTGGAAGCTTTCTGATTAAGGTTCTTTTTTAATTGTTTTAAGCTCGTGTATTATCATTCTGTTTTCATTGACATGGGCGTGTAATATGATATATGTGAGCACAATTGGCTGGATTAGATATGAAGAAAATTAAAGCACCCATCAACCATTACAACCGGTGTAAAAAAAGCATTGAGGTAAATGTCTTCTCACCGAAACACATGGTTCTAGATTATGTTGGTATAGAGTACTTGTAGTGGTAAAGGCTCTAGTGCTCTTAATTCATCGAGTGGATATCCATATTATCCTGAATTGGAACATTATCTTATTGAAGCTTTTTGGGTTGTTTTTGGTAATGAAAATTTTCTTCTGTTCATTATGATTTACCATTCATCTCTGTTTATGAGGTTTATTCTGTAATCCCTTAGCTCTTCATTCAGAAGATGAAGGACTAAAAGGTATGTTCCTTGACTATATGAGCCTGTGTATTATTCTTCTTTACTATAAGCTAAAGTTTTGTTGCTTGTGATCATTGATTGATTAATCAGTTGACTTTGTTATTTGGGATTCAACTTTATACACAGATCGACCAGGTTTGAGGAGTAGCTTAAACTACTACTACTAGAAGACTTGTGAGTTGAACCCCTGACTTATATCTATGGCCATATGCCATGACAATGCTGAGATTGCTTTTAATGACGAATCAATGGTACATGTACACTTTCACTCACTACTGCACCTTGCAAAGACCATATTCTTTAACTTGCTATTATTATTATTATTATTATTATTATTATTATTATTATTATTATTTGTTTTTAAGGATCATCCCCAACTTAACTTCCTTATAGTTGCAGGTACATATGCAGATAACAAAGATGATGCAAAGCTCAATTATTGTTTTCCAAGCCGAAACAAGTAAATTGTTGGATTGCATTAATGGAAGAAAGTCGACGTGGTTATAGTTACATTCTTACAAACTTTCTATTTGGTTTTTATGTTTAAAGATGTAATGTTAGAAATATGTAACAAAAGATGTTATATTGTTAGCACTTTTTCTTTGACAGGATGTTGTATTACTTATTGTAAAGAATATTTGCTATTATTTATAATATATATACATTTTTTTAATGCTTATCTGCACCCATTGCTCTTTTCCTTCTTAATAAAAATATAAAATTAGTAAAATATGCATAATATAAAAGTAGCATATTCAGCAACAAAATAGCTTGTGGCTGATTTAATGCTGAAATGAGCCACCAAAAATTTATTCGATGATGTACCTATTTTGGCATGGCAAGAAATATAATTTTTTTAGCTTCAACTCAATTAGTCGTGGCTAATGGGTAAATGAAGCCATATCAAATATCCTACGTAGCTAAAGATTTTGATGATCTTGTTACAAAATTTCACTTTTGTGGCAATAATTTATTGCACTTTTAGCTACATTTTATTTAATCATATAGCAAAAATAACATATTTTAGCTACACAAGTGAAAACATTTGTGGCTGAGCTTTAGCTGCGCCACTTTTAGCCACACATGCTACAAAATAATTTTTTTGTAGCTAAATAATTTAGCTACACAATTTTTACGCTTTAGCCACCAAAATATTCATAGCTGCAAGCCCATTTTCTTGTAGTGATCCCTAGGAGCCATCTGATGTTGTCTACAACATCTTTCACGCCATAGATAAGCAACACATGCACACCGGAAGATCCCTGCAACCCTCCCTGTCGAGGTTCCTCTCTTGCTCAAGGCAACAGCAGCTTGCACACTCCCCTGCCAATTCGGTCCACAAAGGAGATGACCATCCTTCCAACATGAAACAACCTGCAAAGAGTAAGAACAGTGAAAAAACAGGTGATTTCTGTTTTCCACCGACCCCCTGCAAAGCAAGCAGGATCCATCCAAAGTCTTACCCCATCGTACCAACTTGTCCCTGGTAGTAATACCATCCAACAGAATCAACCACGCAAGCACACTGTTGTTAGGAAGATGTTTCTTCCCCCAAACCAGTTTTGCCCACTCCACCCGCTGATGCTCAATACGCAAAGAGTTCCAAACAGTGGATACCTTGTAGACAGGTATCAACTTACCATCCCAACTAGGCGTATCACCATCCATTGTTAGATGAGTCTGGAGTGTACATGGGCACCGGGCCGTGCCGCCCACTGGCTAGCACGGCACGGCACGGTTAGAGCACGACACGAGCATGGGCACGAAATAAATGGGCCAGCCCGGCACGAGCACGAATAATTTATGGACCGTGCCGGGCCTAAACTTCTTGGGCACGGGCACGGCACGGTATATAAGTGGGCCGTGTCGGGCCTAATATATTCTAGACTTTATTGAGTATAAGAACGGACATGGCACGAATATAATATTTATTTGATAGAAAATAAGTATAAAAAGAATTATAGGTTCAAATATTACAAAACACAAGTAGAAATATAATTATTTGTTGTTGTTAGAAGTGTCATAAATATATATACGTAATTACTAACATAAGTAAAAAAGAACAAAGAATTAAACAAAGCCAAATCCCACTCGCTATACTTCCAATTTTCTTTCCCCCCCTATTTGTTACTTTTCTCAAACATTATCGGTTAATACTATCTTCCCCCGTCCAATTTTCACCTTCTTTTTCGTTCTCTCTTTTGTTTTCGTCCTTTTCATTAAACACGAATACGAGCATGGCACGAGCACGAATAGGCACGGCACGATTCGAACCGTGCCCGGGCATGGGCCGGGCCTAGCAAAGTTGACAAATGGGCTTGCATGGCACGGCACGAAAACTGACGGGCCGTGCCAAGCACGGCACGAAATAAATGGGCCCAAAGCGTGCTCGTGCCGTGCCGGCCCAAGCACGGCCCAGCGCCCATGTACGGTCTGGAGTAATGGTCGATTCTATCTTTGACTATTAGGGTTCGTTTAAGAACGAGCCCATCATCTATCACAGTGTAATCAACATTTAGAAATTACTCCGGATACATAAAATCCAACTCACTACACATTAGAAAGAAAACTCAGACAAAGTGAAAAATCATCCTCAACAACAGACATTCAATTTGGGTCGAAAACTCCATGAAAACAAATTAAACAAACCCCTTGTCCCCAATCAACGTACGAAAAGAATCGATGATCAAATCACATTTCCAAACTCCCCCGCCGGAAAACCCTCGCCGGCCGGTCAGGCGTGGTGAGCAAGTGCCACCGAGAGATCAACGAAAATGCCGAAGAGCAAGATACAAAGTCCGGTGAAGTTGATGAGCCGGGACTCGGCGTGCCCACGGAGGTTGAGAAGCGTCTCTCGCTGCATGAGCCCCGTCAGCGCCGCCGCGACGGCCATGTACAGAAGCGCCCGGCCGAAGCTGACGTGCCACGGCATCATTCTGGACCTCGTGCCCAGGCTGGGCTTGGGGAACATGTAGGTGAAAAAGCCCAACAGCCATTGGAGGCCCAACATGATGAAGGTGGTGAGCCCAATCCAAGAATGGAGGCTGAACATGTCTTCCGCGCCTATCATGTCGTGGAACCTGAACACCGCGGCTATTCCGACGATGCCGAGAACTATGCCGATTAAGTGTAACACCATGTGTACGGCCTTCTGTGCTTCTTTGGCTGCCGGCACGGACTTGTACGCCATCATCGCTGTGTAGGGAGAACAAGTTTTGTAAGAAATTGGGATAACGATTGAACCACTCACAATTATTCATCCAGATTTTACCCAAATTCATAAGGTTGGCGAGGCAGGAGTGTGCAACACTTTGGATCACACTGATTGAACTAAATCGATTCTCGTTGATCATTGGATCAAGTCAACAGTATCGATTGTAGTGTAATTTGATTTTAACTCCATGATTTCTGTTAATAATTAACGAAAGAGCGAACCGCGAATCGAATCAAATACACTCTGCCACCGGCCTCTCAAAATTCATCACTACAATTTGCCAACCAGACAGCCTGTACTATAAGTGTTCAAGGGTACGTGGTAACATTATAAGTTCAGTTAGCTAGGAGGAGTTACCTTGACCAACAAGGAAGATGAAGCCGCAGAACATGAGGAATGGATGAACCTGCAGAGAGTCGATCGACAGTAAGCAAAGACGCATAGAGAGGAAGTTGATGAACACCGAAGCAAATAAACACATATAGTAATGGAAGGTTTTGGTTATAGGTAAATAAGTGCGTTACGTTGAAGACGCGGGCCGGGTTGTCGGAGTCGTACTCAATGCCGCCGCGGTAGTGCAGCAACCATATCAGCATCAGAACAATTGCCAGGACGCCGAACAGGTGAGCTCCGATCGTCAGCCTCGACGCCGATCGCCTGTAACCCACCACCGCGTCCATTTCCTTCGAATTGATTATTAGAGTAATTAATTGACACTTGCGCTGCTAATTATAAGGAGTGTTGACTGAAGAATAATGGAGATGGAGGTGCAGAGAAGGGGAGACTGCTAGCAGGTGGGAGCTATATGGAGAGAATGTAATGTGTCTAATCTGTCTAATGCAAAATTAAAGCAAAAAGGGTTAAGAGAATAGGGATTGCTTGCGGCTGTTGGTTTAGCATCTGTTTTTTTTTTTTTTTTTTTCCGGTTTTGATTCCTCATCAAAGCTTAATGATGGAAGCATTTGTATCTTCCTTAATCAGTCGACGATACTTTAGCAAAAACTAGGTAGGGAGCATCTGTGAAAGCATTCATATATATTCATAGTCCAGAAAGTTAGAGGTTAATCGCCTGCAGATCAATATACGGGCTGCCGCTATTGAATCATCATCGATGTTATGTTTAACTATACATCACATATAAATCAGGTTTCTGATGAAATTTGCACCATTTTGAAATTGTATCAAACAGTGTAACGATGTTCTAAAGGAACTTTAGTTCTATCAACTACTCTCTAGAAGATTTGCCATATCAATATGCTTGGATTCCAGGTAAGTATAAATCATGGCTTTTCCACCGAATGAATATGTTAAAAGTGTTGGGAATGGAAGAAGCTTCGGCACTCGGCAGTTCAAACTTGAAAGCACATACGGAGTATCAAACTATTACAAGAAGTTCGACCTTTACCCAAATCTATTAGCAATGTGCAATGAATGAATGCTCTGTATGTTTCTTGCTAAAGGACGCGTTGATGAAGGAAGCCAAGTGCGTACTGTGGTCTCTGTTCCTCTTTCACCGAACTTGCTTTGGGCCTTCCGCCTTCGGTCCAAGGCACGGGGCCCAGCCCGGGCCAACACTCTTTTCTTTTTGCAAATGATTTAGGTATTATGTAGATCTATCTAGTCTAGATAATAAATAAAAGCCGGATGATGAAAACTGTTGCTCCATTTCAAATTTCCTGCAACGAGAGTGATTATAGGAAGGACATTTTGGTCTTCACAATTGCTTATTTTCTTATTTATTTATCATAAAAAAGGCATGCACTGGGATTTGAACCTTGGTCTCTTTAAAGGCAAGCAAGGATCATAACCAATCACGCTAAGTATATTTATTGTATCTATTTAAATTCAAACATACACGAACCTAAATTATGAAAATCATATGACTTTTTTAACGATTAGTTGGCCACTGAATCTCCCGTAAGTACTTATTTGGTGTTTTAATACTTTGAATATTTTAGTTGTAGTTTAATACTTAATTTAAATTTCTATCTATTTTATAAATATACAATAGCCCTAAAATTGCAGCCCAAATATCACTGGTTCGAATATTGCATATCGAATTGCAATATTAAACATGTAGAAGCAATATCGACTTCTTAAATTAATATTATTTTTCAGAATTACTATGGAGAAATTATATCTTTGTGCAAACTATATGAGACTGGTTCTTTTAATGTTTGAGTCGGGATAACCGCTAAATTTTAAACTTCTTCATAATCTGGCATGATTGGATCCAATGATCATTATACAAGATTGTGTTTAATAGGGTGGCTCATTTCACCACTTTTTGGCGTGTTAATGAATTTGTAGGACAATGACAGGTCTACATCTACACTCATCACAATCTACACATCATATAAATGTGAAATGTGAAATGAGAAAAGAGGGATTCCATTTCAAATTTGATGCGTACAGAGTAATTTTTTAGGGGTAAATTTAGAAGATGCCAGTGCGGTCGGTCTGTTGAGCACGAAAGTAAAAATATGTTTTCATTTAAACGGGCCCAAACTGTTATTTGGCCCACTAATCGTGCACCCATCGCCAATGCAGTCAAATTCGGGATTTTGATCGTAAAATCGTAGGATTTTAGGATTTTACTTAGGGATTCCGATCTTGATTTTACTATAAAATCGGTGGACCTTAAAATCGTTTAAAATCGGGACTAAAATCGATAAAATCGTAAAATAGTACCGAAATCGGGATTTTGATCGTAAGAGAACAAAATAGGTGGTTTGAGCCAATTTAAAATAAGTATAACTGTTTCAGCGGAAAGGGCAATGGAATCTTCTCAGATATTTTTCTATTAGAAAAATATTCAAAAATAATAAAAATAACCAAATTAGGGTTCGGTTAATCTCTTTCCCTTCACCCCATTTAACTTATTGGTAAAACACATGTCCTAATATTGGAAGTATGTAAGAACTAACATCATTATTAACTAATTAATTTATTAATGAATATATTTGTACCAAGCCACTAACATTACTTATTTTATTGGAGTTCAATTATTTTTAGTTTTAAATCATACTTAGTAGACGATGTCGAAATATTACTTTGAGTTAAACAACTTAGACATAACATGAAAATAAGAGCCAAACCCATGAACTATATCCCTTCATCATGAATTATTTTGAGTTATACATTAAATAACAATTAAAATAGTGATTTTGGAACATTAATCTTGAGAATTATCTTATGGAAAAAAAATCTTATGAATTATCATTTTAAATGCTATGTGTCTTTGTGATATTAATAATTTACCTTATTAATATTCTTATATGCTATGTTCTATATGGTACTTAAAATCCTACGATTTTACGATTCGATTATACGATTTTGATTTTACCCCAGTTTTCGATTTTAGGTAAAATCTCGATTTTAACTGCTTTGCCCATCGCAGCCTCTCCAAATCTTCCTATTCTACTCGCCGGGTCATCTCCTCCACTACAAAATATCTCCTCATGTACTCAAAGTTCTCACTGAAACCTAATATCTACAACTTAGGCGCAGAGGGAGCAACCGATGGATTGTAATATTTCTCATTATACAACTAATTACTATGGCTACGTAGTTGTATAAGTGGGGGTTGGACATGATAGTTCTTACTTCTTAGAAGCATCAATACTTGAAGGTTATTATAATGACCAAATTCTAAAGTTATGGTTTGCCTTCAACTTGCTTGGAGCATTTCAATTATGCATCAATTGTTCTCTCCGTGTAGTTAACTCTCAGACAAATCGAAAATCTTGCTGATATGTGCTTGATTGTAGTTAAATTTAGGGTTCTACTGCATTGTTGCTTTACTCTTTTTTCGTGGTTGAGTCTGCTTCAAAAAATTTAGTTTGATTTTAGAAAATTTTGCTTCTGCAGTCCTGTCTTGCCACCAACTCGTTCAATAGATGGAGACGGCAGAGGCGAAGGCTATTTTTGTGTTGTTGTTGCTGGTTTAGGGATCGGTTTGTGAAGAAGAGGGAGAAGAGAGGGGGAAAGGGAAATGCAGGAGAGGGGGATAACTCTTTTCTCCGACAAAAATGGAGTGAAGAAAGGAATTATGATCAGTAAGAATATGGTTATCTTACATAACGGTCTCTATTCTGTTTGATTGAGCTTGAGAGGCAGTGATAAGGACGAGCTGCAACCAATTCATAGTGAGAAGAGAGCTATGAACTGTGATCATGTCTTATTTCAAGTTAGAAGGTAGTTTCAGTATAAGGATTATTTAATTTGACAAGTTGTTTCGTCCATGATTCTTGGTAGTTTCAGTGCCATTCTAGCCAATGTTTAGTCTGTAATTTTTGAGAATTGATGTGCGAGTAATGACTTTCACTTAGCTTCAACTATTATGTGTGTATTTATTGGCATGTGATAGAATTCTCTTTTCCTTTTCATTGAATTCATTTTCATACTCTAATTGTATTATTTGTACATAGGCAAATCATGCTCGAGATGGCAACTCGCTGATATGGCTGGTGCAAGGAATGAAGCCATCATTAGAATTCAGACCGACAACGGGGAGGGATGTCCAGGACTAATTCAATGATGATTGATGATGGTATAATAAAAACTGCAGTCTGCATCAGCACCAATTTCTAGGCCTAAGTAAAGGTATTCAACCCAGAACTCTGCTTAGCGCTAAAAATTGCCCTCACCCAACCTTGATCCTGTTTGACCCACTTCTGAAGAGTCAAGATATATGACTAATCCTCCCCGTTCGTATTTTCTTATTGACTCATTCTGACCCTGTAGGTTGGGGCGGGTCGGGAAGAATTGGATTAGTGGGTCGGTCCTAATCAAGTGGAATCCCAATCCCTTTACTCTCACTTGCTTTCTCTCCCATTCCACAAGTGGGTAACATACAGTAATCCGGCCAACGGGCCGGGTAATAAGCTAGTTTTATTGAAGGAGAGAAAATTTGAATATCCCAGTTTTTTACTCATTAAAGATATTGTCGATTTTACGTTTACTACCATGTGATTTTTGTTTTTGAATGAATCATAGTGACTTTCACGAGTTCAATTATCTGTGCACCGTTCTATTTCAAGAATGTTGAATTTCAGAGTTTCTAAAAAAATCCTCAATTTTCACTATGTTCTTTGTGGTTAATGTTGAATTGTTTCTTATAAACTATGGATCTCTCATGTTTTGTTGGTGTTCGATTTTTGCAAATTTTTGTATTACACCCTCGTTGAGAATTACTCCACCATCGTTCAATAAGCGTACATGAGCTGGTTCCACTTGTAACATCTCATTTTTTTTTTATCAAGATATTGTCCACTTTGAGTTTAAAGCTAATAATACTTTGGTCATAAAAATGGTTGTGGTGTTACGAAAAGTGCTACGTACAATTGAAGCCAAAGTCAAAGATGGAAATGTTAAAAAAAAAAGTACAAGATGGAAATCAGAAGAAGAAATGGAAGTGCTCTGTAAATTGCAAATCTTTTTTTCTTCGTAAAATGGACAACCCTATTTATTAAGGGAGTTGCTAAAGGTCGCCCTTAAAATTGCTAAAGATCGCCCTAAAAAATATGAAAGTTACACTTTTAACCCTTTAGCTTCTTTATTTTTCCTTAGAAAACAAACACCACTTAGACTAGGAAAAAAAAAACTATCCAATAAGAGGGAACGAAGAATCCACTTATTATTATATTTATATTATTATAAATTATAATACTAAATTTATTTAAATAATTAATTAAATTACAGTTTATTATATATTTAAATAATTAATTACAAAAAAAAAATACCAACCGCAGTCAACGCACGATGTGACCGTCGGCCAACCGCAACCAACATGCGGTTGGTCCATAGGCCGACCGCGAGTTGACCGCGTCCAACCGATGGTGCAACCGCGCGATGACTGCGGTCGGCCGATGGACCAACCGCGCGTTGACCGCGGTTGTCCGATGGATCAACAGCACTTCGACGGCGGTCAAGGTTCTCTAGCGACAACTGGCGCGCCGGTGGGAGAGCACATAGCCGGTGACGACGACGGACGACGGGAAAGGAGATAGGATGGCCGGCCAGTGGCGTAGTCAGGATTTTGAGTAAGGGGGTGCCAATTTAAAAAAATTAAAATGACTATCAATTTTTTATGGTGACCCACGACGGGTTTTCATATTTTGAAAAGTCTGTAAAATACATTTGTTTACTTCTTGAATAAGCATGTAATTATGAGATTTTTTAATTTAATTTACTTATTATTTGTAAACGGTAAATTATATATATGCAATAGAACGTATTATTGTATCATGTAAGTAATTGTTGTTTAGTGGAAGATGTCAAAGCTAATAGTAAGGGGGTTCCATGTTCAAATCCTAGCTATAGCATAAACTAATACCCCTATTTTTTAATGTCTAGCCCCGACCCAAGGGTGTGCCGTGGCACACCCTTCTAACACTGTGTCTCCGCCCGACGTGCGTGGACGACGATGGTCTTTTAGCGGTTGGCCGACTGGTCGACTGGGGGCTCCGTGGACAAGTGGTTGGCGGCGGATTTTGCCTATGCTGGTCGTCTTCTTCGCGACGTGGGAGGCCGACGACGAAAGGAGGGTGCGGTGGAGGTGGGTGTTGGGCTGTTGGCGGCGGGATGGACGTGGGCCATTAGTCATGGGAAGAGGTACAGACATCTAGGGTTTATTTAGGAGTTGTTTGTTTGTTTTAATTTTAAAATTTAAGTTAGGGGTACATTGGTAATTTAATCTTTAATTTAGGGCGATCAATAGCAATTTTAAGGACGACGTATAGCGATTTAGTTTATTAATCGAAGTAACAAGATAAACAAAACTGAAGAACTTCAAGTTGAAAAGCATAGATTCAATCTCACAAAGTATAACGCCACCAAAACGATAATATAAAATATAAACCACCTCAATATAGACAATAGACAGCTGTTGTATGATAACATCTTTGAGAATTTGAGATGAGAGCCAACCCCACAAATAGCTTAATCACGTCCCTACCATGCAAACAATACAAGCAAGATAAGGAATTCCCAGTTCCACCACTCGTACAATATCATTATTGCTTTAGGAAAAAGACATTTTTTAATTATTATATTTAAAAAATTCGATAAAAGTAGGAAATTGAAGTCGACTGCCGACAGAACGAATCTATTATTGATTAAACAGATATTAATTAAGCTCAATAGCAAAAGCCTAACCAGTAACTAAGTATAATAATAACACATTAATAAACACCAGCTTAATAAAGTGCTCCCAATACGCCGTCGTTTCCCCCCTAACAAATGGTGTTCTTGTTGTTCTTCAACTTCTTCTTGTTGGCCACGAAGTTCTTCCAGTAAATCATAATCTCCCTCTGCGTCTCAATCTCCGTCTTCTTCAAAAACGTCCCGTTGACCGCCCCACTCCGGCCCTCACCGGCGATAACAGCCTCCGCCGCCGCAGATTCCCCTTCCACCACCGCGACCTTCCCGTGAAGCCTCACCGGCAGAGTATCCAGCTCGTGAAGCACCTTACTCACATCCAGCACCAGCCTCTCCGCCAGCGTCCTCGAGAAATCCTCCCTAATCACAACCCTCAGCACCGTAATATGCTGCGCGTCCGCCGGCATCGTGTACGCCGGCACAATCCACCCGTAGGTCCTCAACATCTCCGCGATCTGGAACTCGTCGTGCTGGCTGTTATCCTTCAGCGAGAACGCCACCAGGGGAACCCCAATCTCCTTCGAAACGATCTCGAAACGGCCCGTCTTCTCCAGCCCTTCCTTCAGAAACATGGCGTTCTCGTGGCAATTCTCCATCACGTTTCGGTACCCCTCGTGCCCTAATCGAATCAATTGGTAGTACTGCGCGATGATCTGGCTCGAACCCTTGGAGAAATTGAGTGTGAAAGTCGGCTGATCGGCTCCGAGGTAATTGATGTGGAAGATCAATTCGTCGGGCAAATCGTCTTTGCTCCGCCAGATCGCCCACCCGACGCCGGCGTAGACGAGGCCGTACTTGTGCCCGCTGACGTTGATCGATTTGACGAGCGGGAGGCGGAAGTCCCATTCCAGATCCGGCCAGAGGAATGGGGCGATGAACCCGCCGCTCGCCGCGTCGACGTGGATCGGCGTGTCCCAACCCGTTGCTCTGTTTTTCTCCGTCAGCAGGTCGTTCAGCTTCTTCACGTCCTCGAACTCGCCGTTGAGCGTCGAACCCAGGATCGCGGCGACGCAGATCGTGTTCTCGTCCACCATCTCCACTGCTTTTTCCGGGTCCATGACGTAGTAACCTTCCGTCAGCTTCACTTCCTTCAGCTCCACCTCGAAGTACCGAGCGAATTTCTCCCAGCACACCTGCAATTGGGGAGGAAAAAACAGAGTCAACCATTGAGTCAACTCAAAGTCACCCAATTTTACAAATTGGAATTGGCAATTTTCCCTAATTAGTTAGTTTCCATAAATCGAGTTGTTAGAAAAAATTCGATTATGAACCCCTTAAACAAGTTCATATTTTAATTCCGAAACAGAGTGAAACAGAGTAAAACAGAGTCACTTATTTATTTACAAATCGGAACCGACAAGTTTCTAATTAGGCGAATTCTTCGTGGAGGAATTGATGTTGTAATGGATCTGGATGGAGAAAGGTTTGGTGGGTTTTACTTTACCTGAACATTGGCGCCGGTGACGATGTTGGGGTTGTCGGTGGGGAGGCCGAGGGCCTTCCTCTTGTTCTGCCACTTGCGCTTGAATGCCAAGCCGGCGAGCATGATGGCCTCGGAGGATCCGACGGTGCCGACGCCGACGGCGGCCTCGGAGTCGCCGAGCGGGGCGTTGAAGAGGTGGGCAATCATGTTGACGCAGCGGTTCTGGAGCTCGGTGGTGACGGGGTACTCGTCCATGTCGACGTAGTTCTTGTTGAGGGAGTCCATGATGAGCTTGTCGCACTCGGGCTCCATCCAGGTGGTGACGAAGGAGGCGAGGTTGAGCCTGGGCCGGCCGTCGAGCATGAGCTCGTCGTTGATGATCTGGAAGGCGGCGTCCTTGGGGATGGAGGTCTCCGGCATCCGGTAGCGCGGGAGGGACTCCCGGACGTAGCGGGAGGCGAAGGTGGAGTGGACGGAGACGTCGGATTGGGAGGACATCTTGGAGAGCACCATTGTTGCTGGTTGGTTGAGCTTTAGATTGCAGCAGTAGTAGATGGATAACAGGATAAGGGGAGGAACAGAGGAAGTGATGAGAAGAGGGAAACAGGGGGGATGGGCTTGTTTATATGGTTGGAGAGGAAGGAGAAAGGGGTAATAATAAAGCCGGGGTTAGGAGTTGTTAATGATGGTGGGGATTTGGAAGTTTGAATAAGCGGGGTGGTGGAAAGGTGCAAGTGGGGAAAGGAAGTGACAGGTTTTTGTCATTTAGTGGACCCATTTCCAGCTTCGTTGATATTTTCGTTTATGCGCTTTGATATTTCTGCTAAGGGGGGTTCTTCCTTCCTTGCCTGCTTCCTGCCTTCATTCCCCTTCCATGATTAACGGGTTCGGGTGGTTATCTTCTTTGTCTGTTATCTGAAAAATGCATTTCTTTATGGACTTAGTTTCCCTTTTGGTCAAAATCACAATAATAAATAGCTTCGTTCATATATACAACCGGGTTCTCGATGAATGAGCATTTTATGCCTTGAAGTGGACAGCTCTGTGAAAGTTTCGAAGAGTAAAATGACATGAAACTGACATAGAGAGTGAGAAGAGAGAAAGAAAAACTTCTTTTATAATGGAGTCGGCTCTCGAACGAGAAGATTTCCTCTCTATGAAAAGAATTTGAAGAGAGTTCTTGCGAGAAGAGAAAGTGTGAGTGAGATCATGACTCATGAGTAAGAAAAATGATGTCCCACTTGAAAGTTTTAACCAACATCGGTATAGTAGGCAAACGTGTCGGGGTCTGTATTGGGTTCATTAGGTCTCGAATGTTTGGCTTAAAGGGTTTTGGTTCGAAGGTCTTTTTAACTCTTAACTACTCATCCTTAACATGTGGTTGTCATGCTTGTATTTACATCTCAACACTAAGTGATCAACTCTTTCTTTTCTTGGTTTTTCAGACTTTAAAATCACATGGAAGACAATGCTATGTGGATTTCTTAGGCTACAAATTTTACCACCACCCGTATGCACACTCAAATCAACTTGTGATTTCATTGTTCTTTAAATCTAGATTGTCTTTGTACTTTTTTTATTTGAGTGATATTTTTATTGCTCGCTTAATTATTATGTTATATCATAAATTTAAAGTTATCATTACTCTCTTTCACCTCACCAATCTCGTCCATTGAAAGAAATCTACTGAAAGAGTAAATAAATATTTGAATATCATTTTTATTAATCCATCCATAATTTATTAACAATTAATTCAGAATGACCACATCAACCAAACTACCAAAGAAGGAAACATACGTTAACAAAGTAATTCATCTAATAAATTAACAACTAATTCAGAATGTTTTGTTCCCCAATCTTCTATATCTTACGCTATTGCTTTGCTCATCTCTCTTGGAGAGAAAGCAAACATTGTTGAAGAATGAAGACCACCCATTTCCTCGTCAACCCTCCATTTTCAACTTTGGAGTTGAATCAAATCAAGACCAAGCAAGCAGGAATTATATCAGACTTTCAACAGAAAATTATACCTCAGAGTCTACAATATTCCTTCTTCATGAGACTCAGGCCGGCCGGTGGAGATGGCCTCCTGCCGGTCAAGAAGAGAACATGTCTCCGTTCCACAAAACGAACCACCGTATGAACAAGCCCAGCTGACCACCATGTACATTAATGGAAATCGGTTTTGAAAGTCCAAAACAAACTAAACCGTCTTCCTTTTGATGCGATTGTTTCTTTGTTTGCTTATTTACGTTTGACTTTTACCATTTGATGTTGAACACGTCGTAATTTTTTAATACGCTAAGAGTTCAAATAATTAAAATGTCTGAAGTCTCCTTAAGATAATGTTTGAATCGATGGAATGTATCTTGATGATTTATTTCTTCTTTTTTGCTGTCATACGTGATGATATAGTTCTTTAGAAGAGGGAACGTTATTGTATTGTTCGGTTTTATGCTAAAACATTCGTGTAATATTAATTAATGTATGATAGATGTGATGAAGGACTATTCTGCTTAGTCAAGTTTTGAAGATCATCATGCATGATGATGAAAATTCGAAATGAGTGTTGTGATCCAAAGCATATATACATCTGGAAAGCTCTATTGTTAAGTAGTGATGATTATATTGATTGAATATTGTTCACTTATTATCACGATGGGTTGGTTTAATCATAATTTAACTAATCCTTATAATGGTACCCGATTCTATTAGGATTTGCCAGCTGCTACCTCACACACATACTTAAGTAGACATATACTAATTAATATTTTTATTAGATAGTAAAGATTAATTTGCGGTTATATCAAGATAAAAAGGGAGACTAAACCGGGGGGTGGGTTTTGAGGCGCGGCCGGTAGATTTTTAATCTTACCGGCGAAGCAGCCGGTGGAATATTGATCAAACCAAAGTAGTGTTGAGTGTTGACGGTTTTTAGTTTTTACTACGTCAACTTAACAACTTTTTAATAACTTTCGCCGGATGGGAATGGGAAAATTCTCCCTAAAAGCATGGACGGAGGCGGACGCGGCGGGTCCAATCAGTCTAATAAATAGCACTAGTCCGCCGCTTCTGACTCCTCTGTCCGCTCCATCCAACCCGGTCTGAGTTCCTGAATCCAACCCTCTTCTCCAAGTTGCAACCAACTAATAATAGTAGCATACTAGCATACATATATCATCGACGTAGATGGAATTAAATCGAAGTATGATGAACTGGTGCATAATAACATATTTATTTTAAAATTTTCATTCTCTATATATCCTACCCAAAAAATCATTTATGACTTCGTCACCTGTTGAGAGACTCGGGGGTTGTTTGATTCGTGAATTTGAAAAATGAAAGTTTTGGTATAGTTTGGGCTTTGAAAAATCATGTATATATGGGGATTTTAGGTTCATTATGAATTTGAAAAAATACCATTGTTTATTTCATGGATTTCATGATGGATTTTGTTAATTAAATTTGTATGTATGAAGTGAAATTTACTTTTATTGTCCTCAATGATATAAGAAGAGAATCAAGTGAAAGAAAATACAAGGGAATTGCATGGTTGGTCACTGACATTACAAAAAGCGTTCATGTTTGGTCACTCGAAATATTTAAATCCATTTTTGGTCACTAACTTTACAAAAACCGTTCATTTATGGTCACTCTCCGTTAGCTGCCGTCCAACACCGTTAACAGTGTCCGTTAAGTGATGACGTGGCTGACGGATTCGCCTAATCATCACCTTTTAACCCGAAAATTGACTGACCCGACCCGCCACGTCATTTAAAACCTCCATGTCAGTCAAACCTAACCAAACCTCTAACCAAACCAGACCAGATCGTTCAGCCGACCCACTTCTTCTCCACCACGTCGTAACCCTACAGATCGTTCAGCCGAAGACGTAGATCGTCTTGCCAGCTGCACGATTTTTGGGTGATTCTTTCTTTGTTATTTTCCAGGTGGTGATGAAGATTGGGGTTACGACGTAGATCTTCTGATACAACCGGGTCTTCACGGCCCGATCCAACGACTCCCGATCCTCCTTCCTCTTCGGCAGCTCCACGGCTCCGCCGTACGTCGCTTCCACGCAGCTCTTGAAGCGGAACTCCTTCCTCTCATCCCCTCTCTCGCCCTCCTCCACGTACTCCGCCATGAACATCAGATACCTCTTCGCCATATCCGCCTCGTACAGGTCGTCTTCCATCCTGTTCAGCTTCTCCTCCCTCGGATCCACCCTCAGCCGCCTCCTCCTCTCTGCTCCGGTGCTCCCACCACGAAATCGCACTCCTCTGCCGCCACCGACACGCAGCTAGTGTTCAGAATCGACGGCGGCGATGATTTCGATTTCGATTTTGTCTCCGGCGACAGCGGCAGGTAGCTCGGGGTCAGCCTCTTGGATCTAGAAATTAGGGATTTCGCTCATTCCTTTTCCCTTTCTCTGTTGGCAACTCGTCGTTCTTCTTTCTCTTCCGCGACGGCGACGGCAGCAGCTAGCGGAATCAATTGGGACAGCGACCTACTGATTTCCTCGCCACCGCCGTCGGTGCTGTAGCGGTACAAGCTCGACGGAGGGAACTTCTCCCGATTTTCAAAAATTAATTCCGAGATTTCTTCCCTCTAGAGATTATTTCCGTTTACGGGTTTCGCCCTCTTTGAAACCCTATGTTCTTCCACCGCCGCCTCCTGATCCCCGCGATCCCCAATCTTCCTCGAATAGGGTTTTTCTCCTTGCTGGACGACGACGGAGATCGGCGTAGCTTCGGTGACGGGGAGAAACCATAAACCACCCGGTAAAACTTCTGAATCAAGTCGCCCTGCCCTTCCAGAATTTCTGGGTGAGATTCTTTCTTTGTTATTTTCCAGGTGGTGATGAAGATTGGGGTTACGACAGCCGGCTGAACGATCTGTGGGGTTACGACGTGGTGGAGAAGAAGTGGGTCGGCTAAACAATCTGATCTGGTTTGGTTAGAGGTTTGGTTAGGTTTGGATGACATGGAGGGTTTAAATGACGTGGCGGGTCAGTCAATTTTCAGGTTAAAAGGTGATGATTAGGCGAATCCGTCAGCCACGTCATCACTTAACGGACACTGTTAACGGCGTTGGACGGCAGCTAACGGAGAGTGACCATAAATGAACGGTTTTTGTAAAGTTAGTGACCAAAAATGGATTTAAATATTTCGAGTGACCAAACATGAACGCTTTTTGTAATGTCAGTGACCAACCATGCAATTAACCCGGTAGGTTGGTAAAAGATTATGGACTTCAAAGTCCATGATCAATTTTCACTTAAAGAGGTGGAATTTTCAAGTCCGTGGGGTCCACGAATTTGGACCATCAAAGTCCATTGGGCCCACAGATTTGTTACCTTTAAATACTCAAAGCAAACAATGAATTTTTGACAATGTTCATCATGGATCCAAATCCTTCACCAATTCAATCAAGCAAACAAGTCCTTAAACTTAAATGTGTTTTCACAAAGTTCACTATAACAAATACTCTTTCAACGAATTGCAACATCGACTTGTAAAACATCTTTCACAAGTCGATATAGCATTGAGAAAATTTAAATGAATATATGAATTAGAGGTCACACTTACATAGTGTTACGAGATCGAGCCATCATAGCATTTCGTAGTAGACTGGGCTTGCGTATCTTTAGTATTTTATTATTATATTATTAGGCTTTTATTATTATATTGTCTTTAATATTGTTTTCCTTGTTCGTATGGGATTTGGTTATTGTTGATAATATCCTTAGAGGTTTAGGAGTCATAATCTAGATAGGTAAGGGTAGAGGCTTGGTGTCTATAAATATGTACTCGTTTCGTTTGTTTAATGAGAAGAAGATTGGAACCCAATAGTTAGCTTTTGTCCTTTATTTGCTATTTCATTAGTTATTTCCTTTGAGAGTTCTTTGCGTTTTATTCCTTTTACGAGAAAACCCTAAAATCGTCACCCCCTACGTCACATCACCGTAACACATAGTTACATCACAAAACCAAGTGCACTCTGATGGTACGTACTTTAGTTAATAGCATGAAGTCATAGGTTGGAATTTTTATACTCTTTGTCTTTGGGACATAAATTTCCTTATTTTTTTATTGGTTTCTCCTCAATATTTTATGCTAAATTATAATGTTCTTACATTACAAAATGTTGAAAGATTGTGGGTATTAACTAGGGCTGGGCATGCGGGCGGATCATCCGCGGGTTTGGGCCGACCCACCCGCATTTGACCCGAATTTCGTTAAGTGGGTGGGTTTGTGGGTGGGTGACGGGTTGCGCCGGGAGCCATCCGCCGAGTGGTGGGTGGGTTGTGGGTGAGTGTGCGGGTGACCCACTCAACCCAACAGCAAAAAGATCAAAGTCGTTGGCGCTAGAGAGAGGAGAGTGGAGACGTTAGATATAAACTCGGACTGCTCCTGGAGTTTGAACCTCAAAGCCAACCTTCCAAATAGAGATCCCCTCTTCTTCCCTTTACTTTTTCCTCTAATTCTTGTGCCTAGATCACCGCTCTTTCCTTTGTGGAATTATTTTCCTTAGTTCTTTGCACCTAATAATCGTCTCAATTTGTAGAAAACTCTTTCATAATAGAATTTCTATCCAATTTAAAAACTAATTCGGCATTTTTCGCCCTATTTCAACTACTTGTTTCCCTCGATGATTATCTTCACCTATTATCATGTCAAGTTGACTCCTTTATATTATATACATTGTGATGTGGGTGAACCCACAAACCCACCCGCATCATCCACCATCCGCCCGACCCAACCCGAGACTAAATGTGGGCGGGTGGTGGGTTAAAAATTATCAATCCGTTTAAGAGCGGGTGGGTGCATTTTATGGTCAAAATTCACCCGACCCACCCAATGCCCACCCCTAGTATTAACCATTCCCCCTAAATCTCAGTTCAATTCCGAGAAGCATATCATGACTAGAAATTGAATGGGAAAGATGAAAGGAGAAGAAGGCATGTAATTTGGGATATAGTGAAAATTCCCAATGGAGACGAGTTGATAGCTAGATTTCTGTCCATTTTGAAAGAATTAGAAAGATCAACGTCGTCGCATATATATATACAACTAATGGAGAAAGTCAATTGATGTGTCCTAATTAATTAGTTGTCGTCGGTAATAAAATTGAAGACTGCTATAGAAACGATCGACATGAGAGTTGAGACTTGGAAAAATATCAACAAGGCAACTTGTGGTGCATACATGTTTGATGTTACTTAACAACCTGGCATGTCCCTTTTCACCATTCAATTGCCAATTTAATTGTTTCGGTGTCTATCTGAAACCGAAAAGCCCAAAAAAATATCTCTATATATCCCTAGTGTTGGTTTATTTTTGTTCCTCCAAAGTTACTACAATTATTGTTTATCAATGCTTGTTGAGATTAAAGATAAGAACTGCTCACTTGACAAAGATAAGATGTGAACTGACAGGATCCAAAACTTACTATTTGCGGTTAATGTAGTGCTCTTCAGTCAGTTTTATCTCTTGCAGGAACAATTTAGTTGATAGTTCAAATCACGAGAAATAATTTGTTTAATTACCAAGTTATCTCCGTTCACTTTCTGTTTTAATTTTATCTCTAACAAAATGTCATTTTAAAATGAATTTCTTAAGAACTTAGAATTGATTTATACCAAATGATATTTGATTTGAAAATGTTACTAAAAAATTAAACATTTATCCAATCTCTTCTTTAGGGTATCATAAAAATTTATTATAATTTTTTTTTATCCTTTATTTATATTCAATACTTTTATTTTATCATTTTTCATTAGGTACATCGTTCAACTTTTATTTACTTTAATTTCAAACAATTTATCATCATTCGGGTTTCATTTTTAAAATGTACCAAACGTTCCGGCTAAACAGTTTTCATTCTCAAGAAACGGTAGCTTGGTTTCTTCAGAAATGATTTATTGTTGCCTAATCACAGGAAACGAATATGCAAGTGTAATTATACCTAAACACGTGAAGGAAATGATAAGTTTATAGTTGCCTAAAACTTTCGCATCCGTATTATTGTCAAGCCGATTCATTAGTTTTCGTTCATTTGACAGCTCCCGTACTATACACGTATAAAACCCGTATAATATGTGTAATATCCGTATTTAATGAAATAGATTATTAACTTTACCATTTTTTACATATTTATTTTTTTATAAAAATAATTAATATAATATATTTATTACTATTGACGTACTATTAAACGTAACATTAGCTAAAAGACGAAGTATAATACCCGTACGTATTTTATACGTAACTTTCCCGTACCGTATTTTACTAGCTACGCTAATTAGGCATGGTTAATCGAGTTGTTGATGTGTGATTTGAGACCCATCAACGCATAAAAGTTTAACTCAGAAGTCGCAATGGATGAATGAGTAATTTGGTTGAGCCACATAGCTCATGGAACGAAACTTGTTGAATCTTGGCAGTTGACTTATTGATCCGGGAGGAAAGCCCTGAACCCCAATTGGCCCAGTAGTAAGTACATTTTAATTGAGCCCATGTGATGAGTTTCCATTGGGCTTGGGCCCTCTTGCAGAGTCTTTTCCCCTTCGGTCCCCAGCAGCGAGGAAAGGGGAAAGAAGGCAACAGATCAAAATCCCCCATTTTTCATCTTCTTCATCGTGTTTATTCGTTCGTCGATTGGAGGACAAATTTCAGTGGAAAAGTCGCAGCAATGGAAGCACCAGGATCATCGAAGCCCATGATCGCAACGCAGGCGGAGATGGTGGAAGCGAGAGTTCCCATGGCCTACAGAGACCAGTGCGCGCACCTTCTCATCCCGCTCAACAAGTGCCGCCAGGCCGAGTTCTATTTGCCCTGGAAGTGCGAGAACGAGCGTCATTCCTACGAGAAGTGCGAGTACGAGCTTGTGATGGAGAGGATGCTCCAGATGCAGAAGATTCGGGAACAGGAGGCCAAGTTGAAACAGCCAAACAAAGGAGGTGTTGCTATCGGTCTCATCCCCAAGACTGCCAATGCCTAGACCCAACAATCCTGGTATTCTTCTTCGATCAATTCAACTTCTTTCATGCCTCTTTTCCTTCAATTCGGGTTAGGAGATCTCCATTTGCTAATGCACTTTTCAGGAAGTTGCTTGAATTTGAATGGAGGTGGTGCTTGTGTTCCGTGTTCTCTTGTATTAGGTTCCCTTTTTCCCTTTGTTTCTTCTGGGCCTTCTGTTGGGAATGCTCGTAGTTTCCACCGAGGAGTCATTTTTGTTGATCATTTTCGGTTAATAAGACTTGGGTTTAGTGACTTGCAGACTCAGTTCTTGATAGACTTGGTAGTTTTCCTGAATGGTGGATTCAGTTTTTAATTCTGTTGGGCGAGGGTCAGATTGTATATTTCCTTCTCAGAATTTGATTGAGAATGACACTATGGCTCTCGTTTAGGAACCTTGTGAGTTAGTTTCCTCTAGGTTTTTCAAGTTATAATACAAGTTATAGTAGAGAATGTGTTTGAAGAACTTACTGCTGGCATGAGGATTTGCATGCTTCCTTTAGGCAGATTTTTATCAGGTTTGGACAGTCGAGAAATTTGTGTTCACTATCAGTAGTTTTGTGAGATTCAGAGGTTTTTAGCAATAGCTTTTCGCAAGTTTGGTATATGAAGGCCATAAGCTGTAGAACCTCATTGTTGTTGGGTTAAGATCAAATTGAGAAAATATAGAGTTGATTAAAAGCAATTCCTCTTGCTGAGTTCCAGAAAGACAACCCTTACTGAACTTACTTTTCCACGTAAACTAAGGAATGAATGTTGAGAGGAGGATGCAAGGTCTTTTACATTGATACCTTAAGCCTCTTCCTTCAGGGTAGACTGATCCACTTGTCTGGGATAAGCATATAAAGGTAGCTGGTGATAAGCGGAGGGATCTGCTTCTTTTTCCATACAAGAGGATTTGTTCTGCCATAAAAGCGAGCAGCTTTTTGTTCAATAATTACTCACGTCAAATTAGAACCAGGCGTCAAAGCAATGCTACAGAAAACTAACCCGTTCCTTAGTGTTGCCATTCTCACTGGGATAGCAGTGGTAGGACATGCTGCTACAGCCTACAGATAATGGTCTCTTACTTTGGATGTCTCGTTGGTTTTAAACAATTTTGTGAACTCTTGCATTTTGAGTATTAAGTAACCCGAGTAACATTATATTTCTATCCAAGTGTTCCCACTAGGTTATACCAACCGTTAAGATATTGAATCTTGATTTACTTTGAGCAAGAAACACTTTGGATGGATTTCATAGTCAGTGTACTCTAGAATGTGGACTACAGTGGATCAATGTCTTCCTTGGTTATTGTCTCTTATGGGGATGGTTTTCATAGTCAGTGTACTCTAGAATGTAGACTACAGTGGATCAATGTCTTCCTTGGTTATTGTTTCTTATGGCTGTGTTCTTTGCCCGATTTATCCATGGCTTTCGAATGGACTTTTGTGAATACCCTTTCACTGGCTTCACCTTGATATGTGTATGTATACCGTGTTCTATATCCATTCCTTGACCTCGATTAGCTAGGGATGGATCAATAGTCTTAATTTCCATCCTCTTCTTTCTGGACATTGCATCCACTTTAACTTAGCCCGCTGCTAACTTCAACAAATGGAAACTTGGGATCTAACTAAGGACATTTTAAAACTTTAGTATTTGTTCCCCGTCATCCTGTTTCTTCTTTGTCACTCAGCTGGTAGCTCTATAATGTTTACTACAAAACTTTGCAGTCTGTTTCAATTCACATTGAGTACAAATCTTTGCATTATCCATTGCAAAATCTTTCTCCTTGGGAACTGAACTGCCTGAAGTTTGGGAAAGCACTAAGTTGGATTGCATTTTAGTGAAGAAATGCAGTTGCTGTTCATGATCGAGGTCGTAATAATAACTCTGGAGTAACCCTCTTTTTTGCTTATGGCTCCCTAACTTTGATTTGCTCTATAAGGCAACTGCTTATAGTTTGTTTTTTTTGGCAATTGCAACTGCTTTTAGCTGAAGAATTACTGCATTCGCAGTCAAACATACACATTATATAATATATATCCTTCATGAATTAGAAGGGGTGTCACCCCTCTAATCCATTGCCATAGCATGTCTCTGAGAATATGTTTTGGCAGCTGGTGTTATAAAGTTGTGTTTTTTTCATTTGCGGTGTGGGAAGCCTTACTGGTAATTTGTGACTGTTTTTTTCTTCTTTCAACCAGGCAAGTACGTGAAGTTGAAGGTAGCTGACAGGATCCTTATTTGGCCCATCTTTCTATTTTGGTTTTCGTTGGTTGTGAAGGATGATGTCGATGAATCAAAAGAAGATAGAACTCTTAACTTTTCACTCTGTTGTGAACCATTTGTTTGAGAATAAAGTCCTCCAGGCTACTGATCTGACTGTTGTGGCTTGCTTGTTTGTTCTCGACCATTCCTTTCTTTTTTCTAATTTCGAACGCTTTGAAATAGATGTCCCATAACTTCGTTGTTGCGGATTTCAGTAGACTGTATTCTCTACCAACGATTACTGTGTGGTTTACATAAAGAAATTTTTCATTGAAAGTTAATGTATTTGCCATTAAGACATACTTATAAGAGAAGAAAAGGATGGCTGAAAGACGTATAACTACCACGGTGAATTCTTGATCATCATTGGGCTGCGGGATTACCTAATACTTTGATTTTTTAAACCTCGTTAGCAGCCTTAATCTTCCTTATGGACTCTTGGATATGTAAACGCCAAATCAGTCACTTCTCGCACAATCTAGAATTGACAACCACACACAGTGACTAATTATTCATTAATGAAAAGGCTACAATCATTAACCAAAAAACGCACACGTGTTGGTGTGGAACGTTTCGGGCAAAGGCTCGTGTCGTGTGACCAGCTGCCTGCTAGGTTTTGTAACATTGAACCTTTGCCACTGCCAAATCCACATTCTTTCCTAAAGTCCAACAAAAATGTTCCTTTACGACAACCAAAGGCACTCCCGTCAATTCAATCCCTTTCAACTTCCACCAGGTATTTTAACCTTCCAAATAGTTTTGCATTCTAATCAACTAGCTTTGTTCCTGGCCATTGGCCGGGTTATTTCCATCATAATTAATCATTTACAGTCACGATTAAATTATAATCATATACCGGTTCTATCGATAAAGTGAAAAGATCATGAATCATAGATAACATAATAAACATGTTTGATTACATGATAGCCTTAATCTTATTGTAATAAATTAATAATTAACATAACTAATGGAGTTCATTTTATAAGTTTTCAATGAATATAATCAAATATCTTGTTGGTTAGAATCTTTACATTAAACTTGCATGTTGTGTGTTCGAATCCTAGTAATGATCATTTATATTTTTGTTTATTTTTAATCGTTGAGTTTAAAAAATTTAAATCATAATAGTGACGTGAAAAACAATGCTGATGTGGATGCATGAGAAAATGTACATTATATTATCTTGGTAATTTTTAACATCCGTACACCTGAAACTGGTTAAACACCGTACTAAATCAATAAAAATGGAGAAATATGCCAAGTTATGCTAAGTTAACTGTTGCTGTCTTTCAGAGGATTTTAAAAGAAACATAAGTAGTTCTGTCATTTAGTGGGACTGACCATAATAAAAGCGTTCACGTCAATGCAATTGCAAAAGTATTTCCAACTCTTTTTTTTTAATCCACCTCAAATCACTTTCATTCACTTAAATCAATACAATTAACTTGCAATTGCATATGTAATTAAATATTATGTTTAAATTATATGCCACATCAGTGTGATTGGTTTTGCAATTGCAAATACGCATGTCATGTCATCTTGCAATTGAGAATGCAATACCAATATGGATGTTCTTATAGTGTAAGGCTGATATGGCAGGGGTCAAAATTTCAAACTCTTTTTATATTTTTATAGATAGATAGATAGAGATATACACTGTCTAAAATGCTAATGGATGCTATGAGTATGAGGTCTATTTATACTTGGGACTTCTTTAAAAAAATGAGTTAACTTGGACAGATTACTTTTTCCTTATAAGAAAGATATAAGTTTTACATTTTTATAAGGTACTATTTAAGCGATTCAAATTCGAGACCTCCATATTAAAATAAAAAGGCTATTTGTATTACTACTAAACCGAACCCTTGTTCGTATTTATGCAGATTATTTTTCAAGGTAAATTTTCCTTACCATTAATGTTCACCTAGAAGACTCTCCCTGACCTGCAAATAATAGAGAACATATTTGTTAACTTTAGGGATAATATAGAGGTTCAAACAAAAATTTATACTCGCCTAGACATTTGTTTTACTTCCTAATTTATATTTGTACTAGGCAATGCCGCCCGCGTTTCACTGCGGAATTGAGATGAAGTGTTGAACCGTTTTTTTTTATTATTATCAAAGTGCTCACATATATTAGGGCCAGTAATAAAATGACACCAAACGTTTAAAATATAACAAAAATGTCGAATAAGTATCAAGGTATAACCTAATTGCTTAGGATAAGAGGGAATTTTACAGGTTAGTTAGGTCTATTGTATCATCGTATCACGATGTCGTGAATCGTGATATGATGATACGACATGGATTTGCATACCTGAGTTTTGTACTCTATCTGCTCGGTTAAAATATATAGAATTCTGAATCACGGGTTGTGCTTCAAAACATATGTGACACATACGCTTTTCTAAAAGCTTCGCATTGTAAAACCAGCCCTTTGGGGTTAGACCCAAAAAAATTAGAAGATTGTGTGAACCACTGTCATTAGCACTTGCTTAGTGTCTGATTATACACATGCATATGTATGTTATTTAAAAATTATCATTTCTTTTCTTAACATATTTATCATGCATATATAATATTTTCATGAAATTATATTTTTCTCACTAAGTTTCTTCATTTCAGTAATTTATTGTTATAATTTGTCACTTATATAATGTCGGTATATGAAGAGTTGTTAACATTATTCATGGATACCCGAAACCCGATCAAGTATGTGTATGGTTTG